AATTCCGAATTCGAATTCGTTCTGAATTCAATTCGGAATTCGGTAAATTCCAATTTCACCGAATTCATGAATATAAAAATTATTATTATTATTATATAAATATTATATTACATATATATAAAAAATATTATATATATATGAGTGAAAACGAAATTGAAATCGAAATAGGAATTCCAATTTCACCGAATTCATGAATATAAAAATTATTATTATAATATAAATGTTATATTATATTATATATATATATATATGAAAAACATATTTGAAATCGAAATAGGAATTCCGAATTCCGATTTCAATTTCAATTTCGAATTGTGAATAAGAAATCAGAATTTCCGATTTGAAAAATTTTACCGAATTCGACCGAATTCAAAATCGAAATTCCCATTTTCATTCCGAATTACCAAATTCGAATTTCCGAATTCAATTTGAATTCGGTCAGTAAATCAGAAATTTTTGATTTTACACACCATTAAAAGAGTCACGGTCCTCCTCTCCAAAAGAAAAGGAAAAACCCAAGTGACTCCTTAACTACTAGTCCGCCGCTACTAACTCGAAAAATAAGGAATTGTTTAAGGAAACTACTATTAGTCAACGAAACCAAGTTCCAAGTCATTGTAATTGTTGGCTCCTTGGAGTATTAATCACACGGTTCTTGGCCATCCTATCCTTTTCCTAATTTTTAACTTTTTGAAATCAAATAAACTTCCTCCTTGAAAAAGGAAACCTTCAGAGATAATGCCAATTGTTTCCTAAATAAAAATATTTAAGAAAAATACTAATTTCCTAATTTTCCGCCAATAATTCACGTAGATTCCATCTTGAATTGAAAATTTCTTGAAAAATCACCTATTTTATTACTTTTTGCTCCACCTTCCTACAATTAGTACCAAATACCGAATATAAGTAGAATCTATCAATTAATACAATATTTGATAAAATAAAAGAGGGAAATAATTATAAAATTAATAACAAAAATGCAACCTATCACCAAACAATGAAACCAAATAGAATGCAAATAGTTGACTCACATCATTAGTTCTCACTAAATTTGACAGGTGCCGAACCTGTGCAATAATAAATACCTACTCGAGAAAAATACAGATTTTGTATATAGCGGTGAGTAGGGTCGAATCCACAGGGACTGGGGATAATTCGTTTCTTCTAGAGTCCAAAGTATGGGGGGTTTTGGATTAAATGCTAACTAAATAAATTAATGCAGAAAATAATTAATTAAAAGAAATGATTGGGGAAACTCTAGCCAAGGGTACACATCAGAAATGGTTCATGCACTGATCATTGATGCAGAAATAATTCCAACATTTAGCAGTAGATTAGTTATAGTTGTCATGCACGCGATAAACAACCAACCCTTCCTTAATTTCTCGATAGCTAAGGTACGACCGTTAGCTATTTCTCTAACCCAAAAATAACCCTAGGTACGACCGTAAGATTTAATTTCTAGATTGCATTAATAATTAGAAAGGCCCAATCCTAACCAACAAACACGCTACGAGGGTTTGTTTAAATTAGATCATATGCTCCCCTGACATAAACCCAATTACGCCAGTTGCTACTGAGGTAGAGATAACGAACAATTACGGATTCAATTACCCCTATTTAGCAAAAATAGCCTATATGAATAATTAATCATTGCACTAATCAATCATACACAAGGCCATAGCAATTAAAATCAAGGAACATATAAATACCAATAAATGAAGAAAATAATTAAAACAGATTCGATCTCACAGTAATTGTCGAACCAAATCGTCAGTTGTCCCCTTGACTAGAAAAGCTTAACCACGCCTCATGAGAAAATCTCCCCGTTGGGGAATATTGTCGAACACCTGGCGTGTGTCAGAGGCCAGTCTAAGGAAAGAAAGAAAAGAAACTAAAACTAAACTAAAACTAGAGATGTCCCTGCTACTCTACGTTATCCCTATTTAAGCAACAAGAGGAAGATGACTAAAGGCTATTTAGGTGGTCCCACACATGTGGACAAAGCCCTCCAAGTACTTCTTGTTCCAAGTCTCTTTCCCGTAGCTTTCTTTTAAAGCCCAAATGACTAGATGTTTCCACTAGCTTGTGGTCCCCCACCAATTCAAGGGCCCAAGAATTGAAGCCCTTAGAAGTCTCCCTATTCCCATAAAAGTCCCTCCTTTTTGGTAATTTTCTGCTTTGTTCCTGAAATTAAACTCCAATACCAAATATAAGTAAATATTAATAATTAAAACAATATTTGGCAAGAATAAAAGGGGAAATTAATAATAAAATTACTAACAATTAACACCCTATCAATTCCCCCCACACCTAAATCATGCTTGCCCTCAAGCATGGGAACAACAATTGAACACCAAAATTTGACCATGGCTGTTACTCCAACTACCGTATTGCCAAGACACCAAGAAAATCATATATCAAGCGACACAGGTCAAGATCCAAGAAAAATCACCCCGGTTAGCATCTAAACTACCAACTCCTCCAATTTAAAGCAAACTAATCTAAGGAAAAGGAATGGTTGCTCACATTTATCAGTAAATGGTCCAGCTATTAACCAAAATCTCGACATTAAGATCACAAACCGGCAAGCTGAATTATTCACATACTAACACAATCTTTATTTTATTTTTTTCCTTTTCGTTTTGTTTTTGTTTCTTTTCCTTTTTTTTTTCTTTTTGAATAACAAAAGACTCAGTCTATAACCCTTAGAACCTTTTGACGCGAACTCCAACATTTGATAGATGGAGAAGCCCGGTTACTCAGCTCCAATTGCTACGGGACCACGCACTCATAATAACTACTACCTTTTGACGCGAGAATCGACACTTTAGGTGAAGATTTCCGGTTACTCAGTAGTAACTACTAGCGGAGTACAGTCAATTCTTATTTATATCCATATAGCACGATATCTAAAAATAACACAAAAATAACAGCAGCAAGCCTCAAATTTCCAGACATGGAGAACTAAAATTAATAATTGGACCAATTCACACGAATAATGCCAACAATCATTCCCTATGCCTAGAAAAGTTAACCAAAAATAGGAAAAGTTAAGCAATCATTGATATTCACCAAAGAGATATTCCTGAATCAACCACACCAACTTGATACCCTTTTATTATATAAAAACTTGGCAATAGCAGAATTAGAGGCAACAATCCAACATCAAAACTTGGTATTCATATGAAGACTGACCACTAGAAAAAGAAAAGAAAATAAACGAAAAAGAGATGCATATCAAACTTAAAACAAAGGAAAAACACCTAAAAATCGAAAATTGGAAATACTAGCACCCAAACTGATCCCCCACACCTAAATCACACATTGCCCTCAATGTGATAAATAAATAGTAATAGCAAGGCGAAGGGCAACGGGACTTCCCTGAAGTCGTCAAAATAGGGGCGGATCGGGCGAGAACTGAGGAGCAAGACCTGCATGGTGCATAAATGCTGCCAAATTCTGCGCCATGTGAGGTTCTAGGTGTCCAGACCTAGAAGATGACCATGGCCTCACCATTGGTTCTAAAGATCACTCCACTTGACAAGAGACAACAATGGCCAACAAATAATGGAAACAGGAAATTCAAAGCAATAAGAATTGAAAAGCCAACCCAACGAATAAAATGCACAATTCAACCACCCAGAGGTCATACAAATACCCCCAACACTTATAGCAAATGCAATCAATAAGTACTTATGGACCCTATGTAGTCAAATTCAGAATTAAGGTCGTCCAAAGTGCAACAACTGCTCCAAATACCCCAAGCAAGTCAATTAAAGGCAACCGACTTCAACAAGCAAATGCAAACTGCACATTCATGCCCCAATTCAACAAATAAACGCAGAAAAGTAGCCACAATACTAGAGCACAGCTCCCAATAATGCAACAGAATAGCAACTCGAACAAACTAGGAACTGTGCTAGTGTCTTAATAAATCAACAACTTTCAGCAATTAGACACAATCGGACCCAATATCGTAACAACTGTCTCCAATTGGACAGTCAATTACCCACTTCAACCTGCTAAAATTAGCAATTGACCCAAGAAAATGGCAACTCCAGCAACAACAGTTCAGAAGTTGGACAGAAACAACTCAACCACAAATGCCCAATAGTCGATTAGGCAACCAATAACACAGGAGTAACAAATATTATGTAAACTACCCTCACCAGTACCACTGGTGCATGCATAAGGAAAATTGAAATCAAATGGCCAACCCAAGACATGTGATAACGCCAAACACACCACTCAGTACCACTGAATGGCAGAGGGTAACACGGGACCCAATTGACACGTAACTCCCAAATTACCCCCAACAATTTCCAAACAAATAAACTGGCACGAAAGTCATCAAATTTATCCCCCAGATGCAACAGAAATCTCAAGTAGTCAAAACCCAATAAGCACAGGTATCTCCCAATTCAAAAGGGTAATGCACAATAAATGGCCCACCAAATTAGCAATGTAAAGTCCTGAGCAATTTACGCCCAACAATTCAATCAATACCAAAAAAACTGCCCCAAACAATGTAACAGTTACACTCCACGGGCAAGGGATGTCCAACCAATTTCACTCGAGCAAACTATAAGCAGTGCTAGTGTCTAAACAAATCAGCAAATTTCAGCAATTAGACACAATTCCACCCAAAATCTCAACAAATGTCCCCAATCGGACAGTCAATTACATATGTCAACCCACTAAAACGCCAATGACCACAGAAATTGGCAACTCCAGCAAACTGTCCAATGTGAATATAGCAATTTGAACCACTCGGCAAACTGTCCCCAATAATTCAATTTAGTTCACCCACAATCGATAAGTAATGAAAATGGTAACCACACAAATTATGCCCCACAGATGATGGCAATTAAAACAATTAGAGAGCAGCAAAGTAGACTTCGGTGAATTGCAAGGGTTACCCATGCAAGCGAGATAGTAAAATCGATATTAAGGGTTGGGAAGACTAAATACCGACACCTGGACGCCTACAAGAAGCGATGGCGCAGCGAAGGAGAGGCGGCGACCTTGGGGTTGCGCGAGGTGGGTGGTGCTTGATGGTAGCAGCGGCGCATGAGTGGAGCTAAGTGGAGAGGCTGAGGATGGCAGTCTCGCGGCTGTGGGCTCGCGAGGTGGGGCGGACAACAGCGAAAGGTGGCTGAGCGGCGAAGTGGAGATGAGCTCGTCGTGGGCTGGACGAGCGCCGCTGCGGGAGAGGAAGAAGGAGCGCTGGCGGCGTTGGACATGGCAAGGCAGAGGAGAGAGGGAGAGCTGGTGAAGGTTGAGCGAGCTGGTGGAGGCGCGCGGCAGGGAGATGGGGACAGCAGCGGCGGCGGCGGAGCTAGACGTGCGGCAATAGAGGAAGAGCCGGGAGCTGCTGCAGAGGTGGGAGCGAACTGGAGGGAGGCGCAGCGTCTGAGAAAGCGGCGGCGCAATGGTCGCGCTTGGGCGTGCGGCTGTGCGAGATTGTGGCAGGGAGAGAGAGCAGAGGAAGCAGGGGCGGCGGCGTTGACCAGGGAGGTGGGCGAAGAAGAAAGGAAAAGGGGAAGAGGGACAGCTGCGGGGAAGAAGGAAGAAAGAAAAGAAAGAAAAAAAGAAGAAAAGAAAAAAAGAAAAAGAAAAGAGAAAAAGAAAAAGAGAGAAAAAGAAAAGAGGAAAAAAAAATAGTTTTTTTTTTCAAATTTTTTTCCTGAATTTGAAATTCCAAAATTTGAATTTTTGAAGAAAAAGAAGAATGCCTTTTGAATTTTTGAATTTTCTCAATGTGAAATTTTGAAACTTTTTTTTTCATGTTTTGGGTCGTCAAACACCGCGTGGGCATGCCAAGATTACAAAACATCCACTGACCTCAAGAGACCCAAACACCGCGTGGGCACGCCAAGATTGGTGTTCGTCCTCTGATCTCAGGAGACCTAAACACCGCGTGGGCACGCCAAGATTTCACTTCCTGATCACAGTGGAGAAAAATATCAAGACCAACTACTATCCAAATGAGAAACAACAGAACGAAAGAATTGAACAACTAAAAATAATAAAACCAATATTTGGGTTGCCTCCCAAAAAGCGCCCTTCTTTAATGTCTTTGGCTAGACATTGTTATGTCTTGTTCATGGAGGATAAAATCTTGTGGCTCGCTTCAATGCTTCATCTTCAATATGATCCTGGTAACCCTCATAGATGGAGTAATCTTTGAGCACACGAGCTACGGGCTTCCATGGACTAGTAAATGGTGCTAAACAAGTCAACGATAATTTGCATTCTCCATTCACTCCTCCATCACATGCATTCTTCGGTTCAAGATATTTTTCCATTGCCACTCTTAACTTATTCCTGTCATGAAATTTCAAATTTTCTGGTATAATAAAATCAATTTCAGTAACAGGAATTGAAGAATAGGAGTCAGGAAAATATTGATTAAGGAGTGGAGAAGATGTCACCGCATTTGGAGATTGTTCACTGGATTCATTCACTTGAATGGGTTGCGGTTGGGGTTCCATTTCTTCATTTTCGGCTTCTTTTTCAACTGCATCTGTAGATTTTTCATTTTTACACTCTTGCATCTCCTCATCACTAGTCAAGCAAATTGCACTCTCATTTTCTTCAAATCAACAATGATTTCCGAGGACAATTCTTCCATTTGAGAAGCCAATCGATTCATTTTGGATATCAATAGACATAGTTGATCTGCCAGATAACTCATTGGATCCTTCATCATCTCATTCCTCATTTGTGTCTCCTGTTGGAATCGGTATGTATTAATAAATAATTCACCCAATTCCTGAAAAGACATACCTGACAAGGACGATGGTTGTTGAGACTCTTGCTGTTGAAAATCCATTGGCCCGGTCGCATAATCAAAATTGGAATTATCCCACCATCCTTGATCATACCCGTTTGAATAAGGGTCATACTGCATTTGATATTGAGGTGAAAAATCTCCAAAAGTATCAATTGGAGCACTTAGATTATCTTGAAATGCGGGGCATGTGTCAGTTGAATAACCTGAGTCAAAATAAGTTCCACAATTTGCACTATCCCATTGATCATTAGGAAACACATGAGTCTCATAACCCCATTCAGGAACAAAGTCCAGTCTATCATCAAAATATGGAATGTTAGCAGCCATAAACTATATTAAAAAAAAAGAGAAAAATAAATAAAAAAAATGAAGACAAGATGAACTGAAAAAGAAACAAATTAATCAGGCACCAGTCCCGGCAGCGGCGCCAAAAATTGACAGGTGCCGAACCTGTGCAATAATAAATACCTACTCGAGAAAAATACAGATTTTGTATATAGCGGTGAGTAGGGTCGAATCCACAGGGACTGGGGATAATTCGTTTCTTCTAGAGTCCAAAGTATGGGGGGTTTTGGATTAAATGCTAACTAAATAAATTAATTGCAGAAAATAATTAATTAAAAGAAATGATTGGGAAACTCTAGCCAAGGGTACACATCAGAAATGGTTCATGCACTGATCATTGATGCAGAAATAATTCCAACATTTAGCAGTAGATTAGTTATAGTTGTCATGCACGCGATAAACAACCAACCCTTCCTTAATTTCTCGATAGCTAAGGTACGACCGTTAGCTATTTCTCTAACCCAAAAATAACCCTAGGTACGACCGTAAGATTTAATTTCTAGATTGCATTAATAATTAGAAAGGCCCAATCCTAACCAACAAACACGCTACGAGGGTTTGTTTAAATTAGATCATATGCTCCCCTGACATAAACCCAATTACGCCAGTTGCTACTGAGGTAGAGATAACGAACAATTACGGATTCAATTACCCCTATTTAGCAAAAATAGCCTATATGAATAATTAATCATTGCGCACTAATCAATCATACACAAGGCCATAGCAATTAAAATCAAGGAACATATAAATACCAATAAATGAAGAAAATAATTAAAACAGATTCGATCTCACAGTAATTGTCGAACCAAATCGTCAGTTGTCCCCTTGACTAGAAAAGCTTAACCACGCCTCATGAGAAAATCTCCCCGTTGGGAAATATTGTCGAACATCTGGCGTGTGTCAGAGGCCAGTCTAAGGAAAGAAAGAAAAGAAACTAAAACTAAACTAAAACTAGAGATGTCCCTGCTACTCTACGTTATCCCTATTTAAGCAACAAGAGGAAGATGACTAAAGGCTATCTAGGTGGTCCCCACACATGTGGACAAAGCCCTCCAAGTATTCTTGTTCCAAGTCTCTTTCCCGTAGCTTTCTTTTAAGAGCCCAAATGACTAGATGCTTTCCACTAGCTTGTGGTCCCCCACCAATTCAAGGGCCCAAGAATTGAAGCCCTTAGAAGTCTCCCTATTCCCATAAAAGTCCCTCCTTTTTGGTAATTTTCTGCTTTGTTCCTGAAATTAAACTCCAATACCAAATATAAGTAAATATTAATAATTAAAACAATATTTGGCAAGAATAAAAGGGAAATTAATAATAAAATTACTAACAATTAACACCCTATCAAAATTTTTACTTGTGGTATGAAAAAACCATCATTTGAGGTTCCTCTTAATGAAATGAAATGGGCACGTATTAGCCAACTCGTTTAAAAATGGTAAAGAAAATTATAAATGTATTAAAGGAAAAAGAAAAAAAGAGATGTCCTAATAAGCAGCGTGCGAACATAATTGCTATAAACATGTAATTTATGCCAATTCATAATATGTTGTAATAAAATACTCTTTAGTTTTATATTGGTAGGTTCTTGAGTTGAGTTGGACACTTTCACGTTGATTAATTAACTTAATCTGAAAATAAGAGTGCAGCAGCTGCAAATTGCAATCGGACCTTAATTTGCCTTTGGTAATTTTCAAGTTGAATTATGTATTTGAATGAAATTACAAAAAATTACAATTCAAATTAACTCACAATTGCTGGAATTAAACTTTAATATTAACAGCACCTTTAGGCTTGGAGTGTCTGACATTAACCACTAGACCAAGGCAAGGTCTCGACAAGGTTGGATATTTTAAAGGAATTTTTCTAATGGGTGCCTATTGCCCCTAAATTCAAGATAATCTATCAAATATATGTCCACGTTGACAACAACTGTCGTGGGAAGGGTCAACAATTTTGTCTGCTTTCCCGATAAGTTTTCCAATTAGAATTCCCAGTTTATATCCTATTATTTCGCTGCTCGTAATTGGGTTATGCAATTAATTTCTATCCCAAGATTTTAGAACAATGAAAACACTCTAAATATTGTGGATTCTGGTTTTTGTTGGTTTAATTTCTCAATTAGAATTTCTAGTTTATATCCTATTATTTTGCCTATCGAAAGATTTTTGACTAATGAAAATCCTCTAAATTGATTGTGTATAAATTTATCCAATCTTATCTCTCTATCATTCGGAACCTTATAAATATGGAAAGTTACCTTATTTGTCCATCATTCCTTCATTCACTCTATAAATAACCTACCTTAATTCTGTTGTTGTTGCATCTTACATTACATCGGATAGTTCTATTACTTTTCTTGCATTACTAGTACGTCCGTTTGTCTTCATTGAGAGACTCACTATTCGCTTCGTTGAGAGGCTTAGGATTTGTTCGTTGCAATGGCACAGACACAAGAAGCAAGCGAAACTGCGGGAAGCCCATCCGTTGCAGAGGTACTACCATAGACAATTATATTCGTAGAGACTAACATTACTCGGTTGTTGAGTTGCAAACGTATGATGTAGCCGTTATTGTTAGTTTATTGTCCATGCTATAATTTGTTTTATTAAATATTATTGTTCTTCCATTCCATGGAAACTTCCTCCCTCTTTTTCACACGAAGAAGACTCGAACAACATCTAAATTCTGCGTTTGTCTCTCTCCCAAAATCAAAATCAGTGGCTGCATTGGTTGATGTAATTCATGCGGGTGTTTAATTTTGTGAACGGTGTTAGCTAAATATAATCTTGTTGGACTGTTTTTAAGTTTCTTTAATAGTCCTTTTGCCATTAAGTTTCTTTAATAGTCCTTTTGCCATTAAGTACCAACGAGTTTGTATAATTTAATTTTTTTCCTCAATCCCATCTTCAGTTCAGGCAATACAAATCTTGGGTACTATGTGTAAATTTATCTGTATACCTTTTGAATTCAGCACTTTTCTATGTATCAGAAGTTCTGAAGTTAGTTTTCCTGAAATTTGATACTAGTATCAGTATGATCGTGTGTTTTTTGTTCAGAAACGTGAATTATGAACTTTTCTTGGTACTTCAAATTGTATGATGTCATTTGTGCTAAGTTTGGTGTATGATCTTTGTTGCACAGATTCATAAGATTTGTCAAATAAGAGTTTTTCTATCTTATGCAGATTCTATGCTTCATAACACGGGATTCCCTTGTACTGATTGCACGTATTTGCTTGATTGTTGAAGATGTCAATTTAGTTGTTGTTTTATGAAATCTGCTAGAAGATGTGTATTAACTTGTTTGCCGGATGCAGCTGCGGTTGCTAGGAAAGCAGGGGAACCATTAGTGATAGAGGAAATCATAGTTGCCCCTCCAAAAGCCCGTGAACTTCGCGTTCGAGTCTTATGCTCCGCCCTCTGTTTCAGTGACATCCATTTCTGGAGGCTCAAAGTATGCCCTATAATCACACACAGATCAGCATCACTTTGCACAGGAATCTGTACTTAGCTCATATTCTGACAAACTCTTTTGTTTTGTTTGAAGGAACCTCATGGATATTATCCAAGAATTTTTGGTCATGAAACTGTTGGGTAAGTTCTTCCATCCATGTTTGGTCAAGACTTTGCTCAAAGCATTTTACTCAATTTCTGATCATGTTTGATTTTGTTTAATGTAGGGTTGTGGTGAGCGTTGGAGAGGGAGTCGAGGATGTAAAGGTGGGAGATACTGTCATTCCATCATTCTTGGCTTACTGTGGAGAATGTCCTGATTGCATATCAATCAAAAGCAACCAATGCTCCAAATTGAGATTCGAACTATCTCCTTATATTAGAGATGGGACTAGCCGGTTTTCTGATCCAAAAGGAGAGACGATTTACCACTTTGGGTACACATCAGGTTTCAGTGAGTACACTGTGGTAGACATCAGTCACGTTACAAAAGTAGATCCTGCACTTCCAGCCAGTAGAGCATGCCTGCTTGGCTGTGGAGTATCAACTGGTAATGCCATTCGCTTCGATTCTTGCTGGCACAATTTGATTCATTTTGAACTTGTTCGTAGGACCTACTTCACATTTTCCGTTGTAGATGAGCACGATATAGCTTACTGGCACATTCTTTTTGCAGCGCCGTGACTCTTGAATATCTGAACTCTTCTTTCAGGTGTAGGTGCGGCATGGAAAACAGCTGATGTTGAAGAAGGTTCAACTGTAGCTATTTTTGGATTGGGAGTAATTGGATTAGCGGTAAAATCTTGCAGCATTCCTATTAGTATCAACGTTTCTTGATTCCTACTGCATTAGATTTGTTATAGACCATCAGAGTATTGATTCAGAAGTGGAAAATTTCAGGTTGCTGAAGGAACAAGACTTCGCGGAGCTAAGACAATTATCGGTGTGGATATGAACCCGGACAAAGTTGAAATAGGTAAACAATGCATATTTGAGAAGTTTTTAGAGTTCCAGAAAGCATAGCCTCAAGTTGGGGCTACAATCCCCCATATGATCTCTATCTCAACCATGGTTTAAAGACTCTGCTGAGCTGTCATCGGAACGGGCTTTCCCGTTCTGATACCGGAATGAGATAAATTCGAGATAATGAATGGTTTAAAACTTTGTCGAAACGGATACAAACGGTCGAGTCGCCCTGAGTCATTCTGAATTAACTTGAATTTTTATTATTTTTGCTAATTTTTATGATTTTTATTTATCATATTTTTTAATAATTTTTAGAATATTAAATATTTCAAAAATTTGAATCTCGCCGAGATCGCGACCGATATGTTGAGACTAATGTGGAGCGGTTCGGGCCACAACCGTGACCGCAGCTTTGAACCATATTCTCAACTAACCGGATTTTTGTGTTTCTTCAGGTAAAAAGTTTGGCGTCACCCATTTTATCAACCCAAGGGAACTTGGCGGCAAACTAGCGAGTGAGGTAAATACCTGATATTTCACCCTGCAATGCATTTTTACTTGTGGTATCAGCAACAACAGAGCCACTACTTTGGAAAACGCAGTGTTCTGTATTGCAGTTAAGTTTTTCACCGTTTGTATGTTGATAGTCATAATTTTCAACTGCTGCTCTTTTTTCTGTACAAAATTAGGTGATTCTTGAGATGACTGATGGCCTTGGTGCTGATTACTGCTTTGAATGCGTCGGCTTGCCATCCCTATCACAAGAAGCATTTACTTGCTGCAGAAAGGTTCGTCTCTGAAATGGCACATCATTTTGATCTGTCTTAGAGCATTTGTTTTGCTGGTTGCAGCTACTAAATGAGATTTTTCTGTGCAATCTTTTAACTTCAGGGATGGGGAAAGACCATCATATTAGGAGTGGACAAGCCAGACTCGCAGTTTCTCGTCAACTCCCTAGTGAATAATCATAGCGGGAAGACCATCACAGGAGTCCAATATGGTGGTCTCAAGCCTAATCTTGATATTGCCATTCTTGCAAAACGTTACTTGGATAAGGTAACTGTTCCTTCACTAGGCTTTCAATGGCAATTTACCACACAATTGTTCTTCACCTGTTGCAAAATTACTACCATCTCTTTCTGATCGATTAATTCTTTGAACACAAATGCAGGAGCTTCAGCTGGACTTGTTTGTCACGCATGAGATCAAACTCGAAGACATCAACAAGGCTTTCAAGTTGCTCATTGAGGGCAAGTGCCTCCGGACTGTCATTTGGTTGGATCAGGAGAGGGCAAGTGCCGATGGTGTGACCTTTAATGAAATATAAGGAGTAGACTCACAAATACTAGACAAGTTCTGTTGTATTTTCCCGTTGAAGTGTGTTAAATGGTCTCATTCAATTGAGAACCATCTCTCTAAGTTTGCTCAAGATTTGTATTTTCACAAGTAAATAGTGTTAAAGGTACAGAGTACCACGCATGTAATTATGTTTCCTTAGATGTGCGAAAGTGCCTTGAAATTGAAAAATCCTCCCTTCAATGTGTTGCGTAGCCATTTGAGCTTACTCTTCAATTTGCTCTCATCGTGGATATTGCTTCTTGAATTCTTGGATATAAGCTGACAATAAAAAAACTCTCATTCAACTACGTGTATCATTTTGGTACAATGACAATACCGATGGGCTACTCTTGGCCTAAATAGAGGAGAAGAATGTGGATTGGAAGAACAAGTAAAACGCTCATTCAACTTGGCCTAAATAGGCTTCACATCATGAAAACTCTCATTCAACTTGGCCTAAATAGGCTGACAATAAGAAAATTCTAATTCAACTCAGAAGATTATGTTTCAACACCAATGGACCATATAGATATATGACCATAACTCGACCAATAACTATACTGACCAGTTCACATTTAAGTAGGCTCAAGGACTTGAGTTACCCAACTTGCCTGCACATATATGACCCTAACTTGAATAATAACTATACTGACCAAAAGATGATGATGATGATGATCCTAAAATGAAAGTATAATCTGCATAACAGAATTCAAGCATTTGGCGGTCACGTTTTTATTTAAACAATTTGGCATTCTGTTTTGAGGGTTTAATTTGGGGATAATTTAGTTCTCTTTGCACATGGGATTGATATACTAATCACAGAAAAGCCGAAATATAGGCATAAGATACAAAGGTATTGGCCAATTTTAGCTTTATTTTGTTTGTGAACTTTTATTATGTAATGGTAGTTTGGATGCAAATGATAATTTCGAGCGGCATTTGTCAAAGATAAATGAATTTTGTATTACGTTAAAAATTAATCTTTCATACACTGCATCATTTGTCTTAAATAAATGACATTATGTAAAATTTATTGAATTTAAAATCTAACTTCTGCACGTGGTTCATGGATCCAATTCCTGCACGTATATCATGGATTCAATGATAATAATCTATATCTATATCTATATGTATTGTAGGAGAGTTTTTTGGTTACAAGCCTCCACATACGTCCACAATTCCATTTCCTTTTTCCTAGAATTTTAGATTTTTTTAATTCAGTTAAAAAATAGTTACCTAACTAGCATTCTTACCCGTGCAAGCTGCACGGATTTATATTTCAATCAAAATGATACTAATATATATACTTATCTATTTTAAGGAATTTATATTTCAATTCAAAACAAATAATATATACTTATATATTATAGTATAAGATAAAGTATGTGAAAAAGGTAAAATAATTCAAAGAAGTGTATACTTAACATCTTTAAAAAAATTTATTTCATAAGTAAAAAATGGATTTTTTTTAATTTTAATATCTTAAATAAGTTGAAACCAAAATTTGTTTACCTATTGTCTATCAATATATGATAACAATTTGAGTAAAATAATTTAATTTATAATAATTTACATGATAGAGCAATTGTAAACCTATTTATCAATATATCATATTATACCTATATATCAAAATTTTTAATATTAAAAATATAAAATTTAACTAATTCATTTTCCTCAATTTTAGAAAATTTTTTCCCCATCTTATAACCCTAAAATTGTTGAGTGCTTATAAAATAGTGTTCTTCATAAACTTTAATATAGAAATTGAAAAATCTTTGTAAGATGTGTTTTTAAAGTTTTCAAAATTATTAAAAACTATCACCTTTTCTATCCTATCTTACTTGTTAATTGGCTATCTGTTGCTTTGTATGACTTTCAGATCTCTTACTATAATACCATCCTTCCTGTCATGTCCCTATAGTCCCCTTCTTTCTTCTCTCCTCTTTTTATCCAACCTTATAGTAGTTCATCATTTTTTTTTTGACTTTTTCCGCCACTCTTTAACTCCTCACTATTCCTTTTTTTTTTTTTTTTTGCCTATAGTTAGTCTCTAACTTCCTATCCTTGACACCTAATATTTCTCTATTATTTATTCAAAATATAACTTAACATATGTTTATGTTACACTATCATAAAGTGAATTTGCTAGTAAAAATGCCAAATTTAGTTATTTTTCATATTAATTTTGAATTGAATGATTTCAAATTTTCAAAGGAGAAATATTGTGACTGAATCTACATTCAACCTCCGGGGCTTGGTCTGGCGGTTGAGGTTGCTGAAAATGGAGCCTTAGGTCCCTGGTTCGAACCTTGCTGCCAGCAAGTTGTGGAGGGTGGGAATAGTCTGCGAGGTCCACTCCCTGCGGGACACCCCTAAAAAAAAAAAAAAAAAACCTCCAATTTGAAGAGTTAAAATTTGAAGCAAAAAAAATTCCATAACTTGCAATTTGGTTTTACAAATTTAAAATATACTTATATTTGTACTTTCAAAATTAATTTGAAAAGATAAAATTTGAAGCAAAAGAAAATCCTAACCTGCAATTTGATTTAATATTTTTACAATATATTTAACTTTATCTCTCACAATATGAAAAGCATATAAAACTTAAGATTGATCACAGTGGTTGCAAGTATTGACATTTAAAAAATGCAAATGAAAAACTGATAATATCTTATAAAACCCTAACTACTACAAAAAAGATATATGAAAATGACGTAACAGTTGCATATTTACAAATGAAGAAAACAATAAAAATACATAAAATAATTAGTAATACCCAAGACCATTCTTAGCATTTGGGTTTTGCACTCTCATTCAAATTTAATTAAAGTCAAATTTGGATCAAATATATACAAATTTAATAGATATATAGTTTAGGGTCAAAGTTCTATTGGTTTCTTTAAATTGCATTGTTATTTTTTTAAAATTTTGGTAGAATTGGTGTTGTTTTTGTTATTATTTTTCATCAAAAATAGAGATTTCAATAAAAATTTTCATGTTGAAATGCCAGTAGCACTTTGCTTTCTATTTAGTGATTTCATAATTTAGGGTTCACGAATGGTACCATTCTTGATTTTTTTAATCCATGACCAATGAATATTATTTTCTTTTTGTTTTCTATATAATTTGCCCTTTTAGTTAGGATTATTAAGTTGAAGGGTAAAATATTGTTATTTGCTTTTTTACTTTTAGTAAGTTTAGTGATGTTTCCTCTTTAGTTATCTCACATTAATTGATTTCAAATCAAATTTCTAGTAAAAATGGAGCCACTTCTTACTTTTTAAATTCAAAAAACATGAAAGGATATATAATAATTAAAAAAATTCAAAATTCTATATAAAAAAAAAGAATAAGGAGTTAGAAGCATTCTAATTAACCATCCTAAAAACCCTCCTTGCAATACATATAGATATATCCAAATAGATTATTTGACATTGTTAGTTGCTATCAATATAACTTCTCACCATTTCAAATTGGCATGCATCTCCACCTGAACCTTATCCACTTTTTCCATTTCAAATTGCCATATTTACATGACCCTTATATAGGCTTATCCATTAATCTGGAACACCCAAAATGTAAATCATATCCGTAAAATTTTAGGACTCCATATCTAAAATTGGTGTAAACCCCTCAATAGCTCCCAAACCTCTCATTCTTTTTCTTGATTTTCCATTTATTTCAATACATAAAATATAATTCAAAATTTTAAAATAATGGATTATAACTAATACTATCACTAGTCAAATTTAAAAAAAAAATTTTCCGCCACTCAAATTAAAAACATTGAAATAATGGGCAAGTAAATGAGTAATGAATGGATATGGTTCCAGATGGATTGGATTATCCAATTACACATTTATGATTTACTACTAAAAATTTTATTTACATTTTCTCCTACATTAATTTGGTTTAGTAACAAAATATTATATCATTGCAATGAAAAAATAAAAAATATCAAGTTAGTAAATAAATTTTTACCCAAATAAAAAGAAATATAAATTATTACATAGATGAATCCAAAATGGTAATCATAATGACTTTTAGATTTTTTTCCACTCTACAAAGAATCTAAAAATAATTTAGGTATTAATGCAAGAAATCAATTAACAATAAAAAACTTTATTAAACTTTCATGAAAAGGATGGAGGAAGTAGGTAAATCTAAAAAGAAACAAAGGAATGGAAATTAAAGAAGAGGAAAAGAATGATAAATATGTTTTTACAAAAATTAGAATATAATTATTGAATTGGTAATATTTAAATTTACCTATTAATGATTGAGTTTGAATATACTTTTAATTTAATTAGGTTTTGAATAAGTGATCTAAATCTACCATTTAATACCTACTAATTCATGAATTTAATTGGGTCACTCATTTGAATCCGATTAAATTACATACCCAAATCCATATTTGTTGATGGGCAAATCAAAATAAATAGGCTACCATTTATAGTTATAAACAGGTGAAAAATATAGTAAAACAAAAGGTAATTAGCCTGTAAAATTAGGTCAAAGATAAGACAAATGAGATGAGATCAGAGTAGGACGAAGAGAATATAGACTTTGGAATAGGGTGAAAGGATGTAGGGATGTGAGAAAATTGAGCTAAAGAGGTAAGGAAAAGGGTCCCAAGTGAAGGAAAAGGGTAGTGATAAGGGAAAGGTACCGAAGAGAGAGGAGTTGTGGACTGAGAGAAGTAGCACGAGGAGGATAGGGGTATAATATTGTATTTGGTTGCTTTTGGTGTTTTTTTATCCAACGGTGTATTTGGTTGCTTTTGGTGTTTATTTGACCCTTTTTGTGATCCTTTTCTATGTTCTTTAGTATACTTTAAGATTTTACCTGAGATACATAAATATAATGCAAACTAGTATTTGCAACTCATGCTATGTACGGATTTACATTTAATATAATTATAATAATAAATGAATTATTTACATTAGTTACATGAAAAAAGGTTAACAAAATTGAAAGAGTACTATTTTAGTGTCTAATTTATAT